GTTCAAGGCCAGACTGGATGAGGCTTTGAGCAACCTGGTCTAGTGGGAGGTGTTCCTGCCCATGGCAGGGGGGTTGGAACTCAATGATTTTTAAGGTCCTTTCCAACCCAAACCATTCTATGGTTCTATGATTCTAAGATTGGTGCCTCTGCACAGCACAGTGAACTGCCTTGCAGAGATACTAGTTTGTGTCACTGAAGAACTGTAGCCACACCAGCATGACCATCTGCCTGAGTTAATTATCACTTGCTTCCCAGAAGCGCTACAGAGCCAAAGGACAACGTTACATAGATGACATCTATCCTACTGATAGCTCTTCAGCTTGCATGAGTGTCCTGCATGGTAGTTAGCTGTGCAGTGTCCATGGCCTATTATTTCTGATTTAGGCCCTGCTACCTTTCCAATTCCCGGCAGAGTTCTTGAAATTCCCATTATATTAGCTATGTGCTAGCTGCCTTTGACTGATTCCTCTTAGCACATGTCATAATTGCTTTAGGTACATCCTTCAAAAACAATTTGTTATGGATTTAGGACAGAGACAATGTGTGACTTTAGAAGCCTATGTGTCACTTTAGAAACCTTGCTTATCTCTGTATGAGCTGGAGAAGAGTCATTTCAGAAAACAAAACAAAACAAAAAGCCAGAAACCCACTGCAGGGAATACCTGAAGTCTTGACAACCCCTTAACTCAAACTAACTGGCAGCAATTAAAAAAAGAAAGAAAATGAAACAAAAACAACAAAAAAGCTGTCTAGGGGAAACTGGAGATCTGCAAGGCATAGGAATTCACCTTTAATTTTCATTTAATCCTGACAATACCATTGACTTTGGTTCAGTGCATTGAGAGACAGGATTCTGTTTGTCTGTTTCAGCTTGAAGAGCAAATACTGGGTCAATGAGCAAAGGTAAGAAACCAATTCACAGATTATGGTGGTAAATAAAGGAACAATGAATTTCTGTTTAACCTTCGCAATGTTTCTCTGAATGGACAAGGGGAATTGTGGCAGATAGTGTAGAACAAAGAGATGACTTCAGTGGGATATAGGCTGAGGGTCAGCAAGGGTTTTATAAAGACAAGGTGTTGTGTTTGTTTGGACTGCCCCCAGAGGCACACAATGGAATTATCACAGTTTTGTTATCTACAGGAGTCAGACTAATGGGATCTGAGTGATGGAAAGTTACAATACAATACTGCACTACAGTGCAATAGTGTTCTGATGCAGCTCTTTCAAAGTGCAGCAGAAAAATATGAACCCTCCAAAAAAAGGACCTGGGTAAGATGAAACCTAGACACCAGCCTGTCAAATACGGAAGTAACAACCACAACTCCTTATCCCTACTCTGAACATGTGCAGTGTTATAAAACAGATTCCACTAGTGCGCCACGCTTACATAGAGGTATCATCTAACCTTAGTGTGATGCCTACACTGCAGATACTAAGCTTAGAAAGATGACTGATTAGCCTGAAGAACATACCTATTCAGTTTTTCATCAGCAGTAGGAATTCACTTCAAAGGGAGCAGCTGGATGACTGGCTTGCTTCATGGAATATCTGTTTGTTCATGTGCAAACATGACTTTCTATGGGATTAGACTTTGGTTCATCTCATGCAATAGTATTTATCATTATGGAGGACTGGCTGGCACTAGCAGTGAATACCTGCTCCTCTTAGGGCAACTGAAATTTTAACTGAGGTCCATGCTGTCCTCAGTCCTCCATGTTGCCCAAACAGTTATATGTCAATTGATTTAAAGACTTTGAACTGTAGAAATAACTGTTTTCTCCAAATCTTCTATCTAAATAATAATTTTCTCAGGACCCTGGCATGAACCCTTTAGAAACTGATAGAACTTCTATTATTTGTAAGCCCTGTAAATACCTAAATATAACTTGTTAGTAAAAGACTTGAGATTGTTATACATTAATTATATGGTGTACAGAAATCAAACTTACATTAAGTGTATTTTTAGTAATTCCATCAATGTACAGAGTTTTGGGTCTGTGTTTCAAGTTACTGATGATAGTGTTCTCTTTGTTAGATATGGAGGAATTTCAATAGGAGGAAGGCTCCCAGTCCTTCATGTTTCTGGAGATCAAGTTGTCAATTTTTTAAGTGATCTTGGCCGAATGATGAATGTGACAGGAGTAAGCAAGATTTTTATGGGGTTTTTTTGTACCATTACTAAGAATTGTTACAAAACTGAAAACCAGACAGATGATCTTTAGCATTTTCTTTTTTATTTTAGGGACAAACCTCACTGGCTGCTGCTAAAGAAATTTCTAATTTCCTTAAATACATGGAAACTGAAGATAATATTAAGGTATTTGCTGGAAATAGTCTGCTAGCTCAGTTTTTCTTGACATAGACTTCAAATTGTGAGAATATTGCTGTGGCATCCTCAGATGCAAAAAGATCTGAAATGCTGTACTTATAATAAGTAATATGGGACACAGTGTTAATGCAAAGTTATTTCTAATGTGAGATTTTTTTAACCATGTTCTTAGTACTTCTCACTATCCTAAATACTTCCGAATAGGACACATTCTGCTGAATTTTAAAATGTGCTTCTATAAAATCCCTTGGCAGTGGTTGACCAAGCCTTTTAAAAGCATAGTATGTGAGCTCCTCCTACTGGACTGTGCCTAGGAGCTATGAATTCCTGGTGATGGGTTCTTCCCTGCTGACAGCGCCCACCAAAGCAGATGAAAGGCAGCCAAGTTTTCTCCTGCAGCTCAGGGTTATTAGTGAAGGCTTCTTAAATCAATCTGTGCTTTCTCACTCTTTTAGGTATGGTTTAACAATAAAGGCTGGCACGCTATGGTTAGTTTCCTTAATGTAGCCAATAATGCAATCCTTAGAGCTAACCTGCGGACTGGCCAAGCCCCAGAGGAATATGGAATCACTGCTATAAACCATCCTTTGAACCTCACAAAGGAGCAACTCTCTGAAGTCACTGTGTAAGTCTGTCTGTGCTCTGGTGCCGGCTTTTACCCCTCCCTCTCCTGGCATCTTACCACCTCCAGTGTACTCACACTCAGTTGACAAAACATGGAAACCTTTCCCTGAAGTTTTATTCTAATCAAAAATTAAATATACAATCTATTCTTTTCTGTCTCATTGTATTCCTATAAGAGTTCATTCCCATCCCATGTAGGAGCTATGACCACTGGTTATACATGATTACATGCTTCTGTTGATTCTCAAGCATAAAGATTCTGAAGTCTTTGGTTGTGCTCCAAAGCCAGTAGATCCACTTGTGAAATAACACAGATCATAATCAAAAAAGGAATCAGAAATTGTCCTTAGTTGACTACAGGTAGGCAGTAGTTGACAATGTCCATCTTGGTGCCAAGGACAGCACACAGGTAGATTCTTCAATGGCATATAGTAGGGTTGGTGTATTCCAGAATCTAAAGGCTATAATTTCTTGAAAAAGACACCCCTAGGAAGACATGACTTTGCACTCATGTCTCCTATTAAGTTCAGAAGTCAGTAAAACTGGAAACTTCTGCCTTAGCACAGAGGAAGGTCTGTGCTTCATCTCACTGTCTGCAGCTTGCCTCTTTGAGTCCCTCTTTTCCCAGCTCCCAGAGCACTTCAGCTATTGTGCCTTAATGTCTACTTTGAGAGGCCATCCAGGAAAGGCTGTCAAACTGAGATATCTATACGAGTTGAACCGTTCCAGAGAATAATGGCAAGTAAAAAAATCAGGGAATGGTGCCACCAGCATCCATATTTGTTAGCTACAGTCCCCAACACAACTTGGGAAAATAAATTGTGTCTTCTACTTACAAAATAACCTTGCTACTTCTAGACCTTAAAATTCCCTCCAGATTCCCCAAATGCTCATATACTATCGTATTGTGTCCATTTCCTTGCTCACAGTCCATCCTTGTGCTCTCTTTTAGGCTGACCACTTCAGTGGATGCTGTTGTTGCCATCTGTGTGATTTTTGCCATGTCCTTTATACCAGCTAGTTTTGTTTTATACCTGATTCAAGAACGTGTAACAAAAGCCAAGCATCTACAGTTTGTCAGTGGTGTGAGCCCTGTGATCTACTGGCTAACTAACTTCATGTGGGACATAGTGAGTAACTCCTGATTTGATTTCATAGCCTGCAATTATTCCTGGGTTTGCATGAACTGGGGACTAATCTGTGAATTGAGTGAAGATGATTCTGAGCACTCCAAAGCATTCATTTCTTTAAGTGTTTTTCAGAGAGCATGCTAAATATCTGACCTAATTACAGATAGAGAAATTAAGTGAGGTACACAGCTCATTATTCAACTAATGAAGCTGTAATCTTAGGTTTTGCAGTCCTTACAACTGAATGTATAATAAAGTACAACTTACCATAGCAGTGGAAAGCCCAGTTGCCTGATGCTAGTCACTGCTGCTCCCTAGAAGAACCATAACGTGTTTCAAGATATGCAAGAAATCTAAATGGGAGATTCACAGGCTGCTGGAACAGTAGCTGAAGGCCAGACAAAATACTCTAGGGTGTCTAAAATGACATAGATGTATTTGTTTAGGTCACTGTGTTGTTCCAAAAGGATTTGGACCATAGGCCTAGGCTTGCTCAGACAGGGCTCAGCTACCCTCCCATTACTCCTCAGGCCATTTTGTCACAAAGGAGAAAATTCTTTGCCTGGCTGAGGTGCAGGAGGGGGCTTGTCTTCTAGTCATGCCTTGTCAACAAAGAGAGTGGCCAAGGTCTTAATGCGATAAGAAAAGCATGAACATGTAATTGAAAAAATTAAAAAGAAAATAATTGAAATAATCAAAAAGCCACAAACTCTTCTGGCTTTGGAAAATGCTCTTTCAAGAGAAGGTAAAGCAAAGCATTAATTTAGTAAATGAGGGACAAAAAGCAGGTCTCTGAGTTCCTGTCCACTGCTGGTCACAGCAGCCTCCTAGCAGTTTCCTTGACAGGTATTCTGCTTGGCCGTAGCCCTTGACAGCATGATGCAAAGGTGTTAATTGGCGTTAGCAGTTCTGTGAAATACCACCTTCCATTCTGCACGGGGAGCTCTGTGCATTGCAGTTAATACTGAAGAGAGAAATTGAGAAGAGCAGTGGCCAAGTATACTCACTTTAGCCTCTTCTCAGGAATGTGGCTCAAGTAACTAGCTTTTTCCCTCCTACACAGCCTTTGCATCACGAGAAACTGCACTTCCCTTGCATACCCGTGGCCTCTTTCTGTGGGCAGCCTGCCAGCAGGACCATGTAATGATTGGTTCACAAACCATAATCTAAGAAACAACAATATATGTTGTATTTTTGATGAACAGTCTGATAAAAGTTACCTTAGAAAAATTATGAGTGCTGCCAGGGACCCACCGATCAAAAAGCTTGAGTGTGAGTAGTCTAGCTCATAAATTCTGGTGTTCCTCAACACTAAATCCATTTGGAATAATAATGTGTAGGATCTGCATATGTTTGCAGACCTTCTCAGATCTTACACACTGATCTTCACCCTGTGATGTGGCAGGTCAATTATGCACTGAGTGCTGGAATGGTTGTGGTTATATTCGCTGGATTCAACAAGAAAGCATACACTTCTCCGACTAATCTCCCTGTGCTTGTTGCCTTGCTGCTTCTGTATGGGTGAGTGTTCAAGGTTATTCCTGCATGTGGGGCCCTGTATTTCACATGGAAATTATTTCATGTTATTGAGCTCGGTACTTAGTGAAATCCAGCTTTAAAGAATAAAACTGAGTGGGTACAGCACAGATTAGAACTGGATTCTGTCCCTGCTCCAGGATATTTACACACTCTGTCTGGCCACATGCTGTAAAGGAGGTGTTTTTGTCACTGCTTTGCATTTTTAAGCATTAAATGTGACCATTACAGGAAAATACATTTGTTTGGTTTGCTGCTTTCTGATATGTACATTTTGTAGGAATTTAGTGGTTGATTATTCGCCTCATTGACAGCCAATACTAAAATAACTTTCAGCATTTAACCCGAGGGCAAAGAGTACTAAGTCTTCAACACTTTTTTTAACTTCAAATGAGCATTTGTGTTGGCAAAATAACATTTTATACAGCTGACTCAAATTCATTTTCTGTCATTTAATTAATGATCATATATTTTTATCTATAAAATCACATTCCTGATAGCTCTGCAGCTGAAGTAGTCTAGGCAAGATGATTGACCAGAAAGAAAGAAAGGAGCTCTTCACATCCTCCTATGTATATCACAAATTAAGCCTAAGAGGGAGCATTTCTGGGCAGATTACCTTTAATTTTCTGAAGTTTTCATGTTCTTTGAATGAAAATCCTGAGAAAATGCAAAGCATTATCATAATTTAACCTCTGTAAAATAGTGTTAAAAAATGCTATCAGAATGTTCATTTTGATTTTTCATTATATCTTTTTAAAGTTCAATAGTGGTATCTTTAGTAAGTTGTCTGTGGCTCTATATATATTTTTTAAAATTCAGTGGTGTGGATGGACATTTAAAATGTCTTTGTGTATTTTAAAGCATCTACCAAGATGAAATTTTCAGAAAAAATATAATCACATGACATTGAATTCAATAATAATTTCATAATTTGCTACTCAAAATAAAAAACTGAAAGGAAGGTAAACTTATAGAATCATATATTAGCACTTGTGTTCAACTGCAGTCACAATGGGAAACTTCGGATGATTCTTTCTAACCACGTGTATTGTCCTGTTAAGCAATTCAGGTTGTTGTTACTGAATTCCTAGTCAGACTGATTGTTGCTAAGCTTTGTAAATTTATTCCAAGGGAATACTCCTCTTGTGCTGCAGCATGTGCATTTGCTGCGTCCCAGAAATCATGGCACAGGAAGCTCCAGATCAGGTGTAAAAAAACAATGGTAGAGGAGTTAGAAAAGAATATCAAAATTTACAGAGTTTCTGATTTCTTTGGACAGTTCCAAAGGCCGAGGAGTATCTAGCAAAGCAGTACATCGTATTTGCTTTATCTAACATTTCTTTGTTTCACCCTCTTGATGTACAGTCCAGTGAGATGTGAAAGGATACCTGGGGTGATAATAACCCTGCTAGCATTAAGTTTTCTCAGTTTTAGCAGTTTCTATTGCCCTGCATTTTAACAGCAAAAAAGTTGAAAAAGCTTTTTAACTAGTAACCAGGGAAAGAATACTGTAGGGGCATCTCTGGTTGGTTACACCCTTTCATTACACTTGGGATAAGAAGAAAGCTCAACTTTGTGTTCTCATTAGGGCAACTGACATGAGAATACTGCAAAGCTGTTATCATAGTTTTTCTATCTTTTGCCTGCAGATGGGCAGTAATTCCCATGATGTACCCTGCTTCTTCTTTCTTCAGTGTCCCTAGCACTGCTTATGTTGCACTGTCGTGCATTAACCTCTTTGTGGGGATCAACAGCAGTGCCATTACATTCATCTTGGAGTTATTTGAAAATAACCCGGTAAGTAATGTTTTTGTTTACACCTGGTTTTAGAGAGCAGTGCAAAGGGTATCCAAGCTTAATCATCCCTAACAGTAACTTTCTCTACCTTGCAATTTTTTCTGGCAGTAATGAGTGGGGAACTTGCTGAGTAACTGCAGGGATAGGTGAGCAGAGTAACCCAGAGAAGCAGCTTGGGGCAATTGATATCTTGGGCTACACACACAGGGAATTACGTTGGGTGTTTTTCATCCCTATGAGAAACTTCTGTACACTTTCACAGTTGGGGAGGAGGAGACATGGTACTTTGTGCTTGCTTCTGCAGCTGGCGTTGTCCAGGAAGATGTAGGTTGTAGAAAATCAGAGTCACCACCAAGTAAGGAAAGACACTTACTCCTGCTAGTCATTGTGTTAGAGGAGATGTTCTGCTTATAGTACCATTTTGAGAACTTTCCAGAAATGGCTTAACACCACCAGGAAAGGCGACAGAAGGTACAAGAATAGACAGAATACAGTGAGTGACAAAATTAGTTCTTAGAAAGGCTGAGAGATCAGTTTATGAAGCACTGTTGGCCTGTGTGCGCTACTGCTACCACCTCTACAGCTGCTGCTACTCTGGCCACTGAGATTGACACCCTTTCTACATCTGACAGCAATCCAATTAGCTATCATTACTGATAGTGTATTTTCAAATGCCATGTACTGATCAAGCACTGTTGTTTCCTGGGAAGAAGAAAGTGATCTTGGTTCAGTTCATGGTTTTGAGGGCCAGCTTTACAATGTTTTCTGTCCCTGGTGTTCCTGCATTCTCAGCCATGCTTCTTGATAGCATAGGGTTCAATCTAGTGCCATTCAGTCTGTGGGACAGCAGGCCAGTATTGTTACCTCTGAGAATATGACTACATTGTAGACACTGTGTCTCCAAAGGGAAAATTGCCCTTCTCTAGATTCAGTGTTGGTGCAGCTAGACTGCTACTGGCACTTACATTTTGCATATCTCTGCATTGCCCCAAAGTCTACTGTGCAGATAAACCCAGACACTGGTACTTTTCAATATTGTGGCAGTCCCCACTATGGAAATATTCCAGCTGTAAGTGAAGATGTTATGACAGAAAAATACCACTCATTCTTCACAGTTGCTGTTTATAATAGGTGACACTGGAACTACATGTTACCTCTGCTACATACAGAAATACTTCATTACAAAGATTAGTTTCTCTTCTCATTGACATTTTTTCACAAGCACCTTGTCCAGTGCAGTGCATGCCAGCATTCTGCTGTGCTGCATTCTAGGTTGCAGGTGCTTAGGGTGTAACTTGATAAATACTATGTTTTCTCTGTTGTGAGAACACAGAACATCCATTTTCTCTGACAGGACAAAACTTTTTTTCTCATGTTGCTATGTTTTCTTAAAGAAGTCAGATTTCAACTGTTTATATGTTGTTTCTGTTTCTTATAGTCTTTGCTGAAGTTTAATAAAACATTGAAAAACGTGCTGATTGTCTTCCCACATTTTTGCCTGGGCCGTGGACTCATTGACTTGGCCATGAACCAAGCTGTGACTGAAGTATATGCCAGGTTTGGTAAGTAAGAGCCAATAAGCAACAAGTTACATCAGTGTCACATGTCCTGACCATGGATGAGATGGTTGGAAGTGTTATCTTGGAAAATTAGTGGCTCTTTCTAGAATTTTCCCCTTTCACATCATCAGGTGGATGAGGAACATGAAAGTTCAACTTCTCTGAAGGAATCACAGCGTCTGATACTACAGCCCAACCAGTGGTCTGTATTGGAAATAAACCCCTTTTGTTCAGTGCCAGACTCTGGTGTGTTTTTATCATTTGTTCTGAAATCCTTAGATCATTACAGTAGGATGCATTATTTCGTTTCATTTGAATACTTCAGCAGCCCTCATATTGATGCTTAAAGTGGCTGCTGTTCTTCAAACGCATCCTCTCAGGATCTGGCTGTCTGTGGTATCAGACAGCTTCTTGTTAAAAGAATAGTCATATAGCAGAAGCAATCTGTTCTTATGCAGCAAATTTATGTCTTTCATATAGTCCTTGCAAATTTCATGTTATGATATCCAAATCAGTGCATATTCAGAGAGCTTATGTTAATTTTTGCTTCCATGCAGCGGTTGAGCTTGGAGTGTATTTTCCTGAGAATCTTTATAAGACACTGGAAAATGGAGACATTGCCTGATCTTGATCAAATAAAGTACAGATTTTAATCCTAAACCATTAGGATTATGCCTTTTGTTCTGAGGAGCAGTGTTTTGTTTCAGCAGTATTTCACCTTGCTTTCTGGTGCTTTTTCTCCAAAGGTGAGGAGCATGTTTCCAATCCATTTCAGTGGGACTTTCTTGGTAAGAACCTGGTTGCCATGGCTGTTCAAGGGGTTGTGTTCTTCATTCTCAATCTCCTTATGCAGCATCGCTTGTTCTCCACAAGATGGTATGTCTGAAAGTTTGTATTAATGTTCCTTTATTAAGAGGGTGAGTGTCTTTGTTATTCTCTATGTCCTTTTTCTCTGAGATTTTTTTTGGTTTACTTATATGAGTTCACCTTAATTTATTGATATCGTGGTTCAAGAAAGCACTTATAAATGTGCATTATCTTAACAGGACTTGAGAATATATTATTAAATAGTTTTCTTGAATTAAGACTTTAATGTATTTTTTTTTTAAGTTTAAGACACCGTAATAGTGAGATTATAAAATGACTTGGAAAGTTTATAGTGTCATAAGTACTGGCACAAGATACTAGCCTGACATCCCAACTCAAGAATTCTAGTCCATTGCACAGGATAATTGCAGCCTGGACACTATGCAAGCTCCCCCTCTCTGCTTTACAAATGTGCCTTTATCTCAATGAAAGCAGCTACCTTCCAGGTGTGAGTGGGTCATTCACTTCTGTTCAGTATTGCCAGCAAGTGTATTAATTGGTACAATTATGAAAATATTGTCTTACAGGGAGGTCTGCTCAAAAGATCTGTAGAAGGACTATCATTATCTACTGAAAAGCAGCCAAATAGCAAAAGCTGTGGCTGAGGGACAGGTTAGGTCATGTCAGTGACTGACAAGCCATGTTCTTTCGAGCAAGCCATTTCCTCCCTTTTTGATAGAGGATAACTTTCAAAGGTCAGGGATTCTCCTAAAAGCAGGCATGCTCCAGCCAGTGTCACACTGTGAAGTTTCAATCCCACTGCTTCTGCCAGTCACATTTTTGGCAGTTGATTAACTATTGTTTCACACTGTTATTCTAACTGTACCCAGGGCAACTCATTGTTTCTGCAATCAATCTCTTGGTTTTTTCCAGGATTGCTGAGACTGCCATGTCACCTATTATTGGTGAAGATGAGGATGTTGCAGAAGAAAGAAAAAGAATTATGAATGGAGGAAACAAAACAGATATCTTAGAATTACAAGAACTGACCAAGGTAATATTTTGAGAAGAATGAAATGAATTAGTCTAGTGTAAATTTATTCTTTTAGAATGTATTTCAGCTGTGGATTCAGATGGTATTTTTTTCAAAATCAACCCTGTGCCTTAGAAAATTACAAACTTTTTAGAAGTCAAGGCTTGTCACACTATTTGGCTATTTCCTTTGATTAGAAATAAAACCACAGTGAAGTCCAGCAAGGACAGTGCAACCCTCCTTGCTTAAGGTTTTGGGTTTTTTTACCTCACATAGTCTAACGTGACTGTTATCTATTGACTGTCCATTTCTACTACTAGTCTTTTCTTCTGCAATGCCATTTTTTTCCATAGGTGAGTTTCGATCTCAAGTTAGTCATAGAATAATAGAATCGTAGAATGGTCTGGGTTGAAAAGGACCTTAGGGATCATCTAGTTTCAACCCCCCTGCTGTGGGCAGGGTTGACAACCACTAGAGCCACTGCCCAGAGCCCCATCCAGCCTGGCCTTGAATGCCTCCATCCACAGCTTCTCTGGGCAACCTGTGCCAGTGCCTCACCACCCTCTGAGTGAAAAATTCCCTCCTAATACCTAACCTAAATCTCCCCTCTCTTAGTTTAAAACCATTCCCCCTCATCCTGTCACTATCAACCCCTGTATACAGTTGCTCCCCCTCCTGTTTATAGGCTCCCTTCAAGTACTGGAAGGCCGCAATGAGGTCTCCCCGGAGCCTTCTCTTCTCCAAGCTAAACAAGCCCAGTTCCCTCAACCTTTCTTCATAGGAGAGGTGCTCCAGCCCTCTGATCATCTTAGTGGCCCTCCTCTGGACCCGTTCCAAGAGCTCCACGTCCTTCATGTGCTGGGGGCCCCAGGCCTGGACACAGTACTCCAGATGGGGTCTCACAAGAGCAGAGTAGAGGGGGAGAATCACCTCCCTCTCCCTGCTGGCCACCCCTTTTTTAATGCAGCCCAGGACATAGTCGGCCTTCCGGGCTGCAAGCGCACACTGCTGGCTCATGTCCAGCTTCTAGTCATTTGGTTGCTTTCACATTCAGGGCTATAGTTATTGCTAATTTATGCATTGAAGCACCTGAATTATGCTATCATAATGCATGCAAGCTTGAACTACAGAAATACAAAGATTACACACATTGCTGGCATCTCACGAATAGAGAACTGGAGTATCATTCTTCAGACTATCTTGCTGTATTGTTCCACTTTGGTTAGGTATGTCAGAGACACTGCATCACGTCTGTCTCCTAGTGTTAAAGATACAAAGTATTGGGCTGCATGCAGAAAAACTGGTATTTTTAGGGGTCTTTACAGATCTATTTAATGTAACAAAATGTCTGACTTTCTAGAATGCTTACTCTTTCTTTTTAATTTTTTATTTACTCCTGTCTCGGTTCTAAGGTTGCCTCATCCCAATAGCATTAAGCTAAAAAATTCAGAAGACTTTCTTTGCTGTAGATGTCTTGAAATAGGATTTTTTTCTTTCTTTTTTCTGCCAATTTAGATTTATGCAGGTAGGCACAAGCCTGCAGTGGACAGACTCTGTGTTGGCGTCCGTCCCGGAGAGGTAGGTTGTTCAATAACGCTTGATTACATTCCATGGATCAGTTCAGATTTCATGCCCCTGCTGATTTGGAAGCTGGAAATACTAAAGAATGCAATAAATTTTGTAATTTAGTGCTTTGGTCTTTTGGGAGTGAATGGTGCTGGCAAAACAACAACGTTCAAAATGCTGACTGGAGATACTGATGTGACATCTGGAGATGCTGTAGTGGCTGGCAATAGGTAAGTACCTTAAAAAAACACCTGTGACAGTCTGTTTACTGGGGTAGAACTGCACAGATTATAGTCTCAATGACCCCACAGCTCTTTTCCAGTTTTGTGGCACTGAGAGACACCACAGCTAACACACACTGGCACTTTATACTTTTAACGCTCTGTTGTAAAATCTGTGGGTAAGTTATAGTAATACTAAAAGTGGGGACAAGGCAATCAGATCTAATGGCAAGAGCTCACACACATAAGATAGCTAGTCCAACATGGTACTTTGATTTGAGCTTTGGGACTTTTCGCTGGTTGTTTCTAGCATCTTTGTTTACACAGTGCTGGCACAATGTCATAAGTTAATAAAGCATGATCTGATATTCACTTAGTTTAGTTCCAAGTTGTGTGTCTTTGTTAGGTGTAGTTGGGATTTGATTCTTTGTCCATTGATGTGATTTCAACAATAGCTATTTTGTTGCCAGGACATGGTCCTGGGCAGCCTGCTCTAGGTGACCCTGCTTAAGCAGGGTGGGTGGAGAAGATGACCTCTAGAAGCCCCTTCCAATCTCAGATATTCTGTGATTCTGTACTTCTCCTGCTATTACTACCAATGAAGTGTTAGCCTTGTGTCTTGCCTGTCTATTCCCAGTGACCACACTGAGCTGAATTTAACTGATTTTTTTTTTCTTCTAGAAATAAACACCTTTTGCAAAAAATATGATGAGTGCCTGTTCAAAGAACTTGTAAAGTTAGCCTATACTTAAACAGGAAAATGGGTGAGGGGAAATGGGCTTACACTTTTAACCAGGACTGAGCTCACCTAGATGAGAATATATTCCTTGTTATTCTCTACAGACAGATATTCTAGTAGGATGTTGTATCAGGAAGAATTCATTCTCCTCTTACAAGAGTTGTTGCCCCAGAAAAGAATGATTTTATTCAAAGTGTCCATCTCTGTCTTGAAGCTAGTATTAGAGATATAAAATTATTTTCTTTGTTTCTCCAGTATATTGACCCACATTTCTAATGTCCATCAAAACATGGGATATTGCCCTCAGTTTGATGCCATTGATGACCTCCTCACAGGACGAGAGCATCTCTACTTATATGCACGCCTGCGAGGGGTTCCAGCAGAGGAAATCAAGAGGGTAAAGCATCCTTGCTTTTGGCTTATACATAGTTACAGTGAATATTAGTGATGATTAACTGGGTTTGTAACATGCCAAGGGCCAGAATTTACAAAGTAGGCTTGCCATTCCGTGTGTTGAAGTCCTGGGAGTGGTTCCTGTCATTTGGACAGTTAAGTACAAGACTGTGCTATCAAATGGTATTAACGGTACCGCAAAACTGTGGCGCCAACTGTGGAAGGGAACAATGTAATTGTTGTGACTCAGAACTGCACTGGTTGCTGTTTTGTTCTTGTCTTTAAAGTTGTTTATGTATAAGAAAGGAAATATGAAGAAGATTGCAGAAGTAAATAATTTAAATTCTTGCACAGATAGGAAATCTACAGCTGAGCTTGGTTTATGGCTTTCCCTCAAGTAGTTAGAATTCCCCTCATGATCATAAATTTTTTGGACTCCCCTGTCTAAAATGTGTGTGCTAAACCCCAGGGGATTGCCATGTCTCTGCCAGAAGAGGGATGTATCAGCAATCCCGTCTGTTATGCATTAGCTGCTGTGTGAAAAAGACAGTCTTTCTCATAGGTTGCTGAATGGGGCATCCAGAAGCTGGGACTTCCTATGTATGCAGACCACCTGGCTGGCACCTACAGTGGTGGCAACAAGCGCAAGCTCTCCACTGCTATTGCACTGATAGGCTGCCCACCACTCATCTTGCTAGTAAGTGTCATGGTACATAGCTGTGTGACAGTTCAATATAACATCTCATAAGACTACATGCTAAAGAGGTACAAGAATGTTTATGACAGTCCTTGCAAGCTCCTTTCTGCCCTCAATTTACATCTACTTCAATGTTATTTTGAGGTCTTTAATTTCAGGGCTAGACTGGGATGCATATCTATGTTGTCAATGGACCCCAAGTGATTATGAAAGAAAGATCTTCAACAAAGAATGGTTTGAGATAAAATCTAAAATCTAGAAAAATCTGAATTTAAATCCATGTTTGGTTTCAGTCTGCCTTTTCTCGTCAGAGTATAACCACTCACATGAAAGATGATATTATGAAATATACCTTGCTGCTTTATCCATCAGAACAGAAGAAGATAGCTACCTGTTAGCAGCCTTTAATATCTTTGGAGTAAATTATACAAATTTAGACTAAACTATACAAATGCTGAAATATAGTTCTGATTAAATAAGTTATCAGATAATTGTGTCTCTCAAGGGAGATTATAAATGTAATTACTACAAAAATTCTTTATTTAGATTACACTGTAGCACCTTAATTTGTAGGCTAAAAAGAAACATTTTAATAACATTTTATTAGCATGGTTCATTGTGCCATTTAATATACCTTTACATGTATTCTGCCTGCACATAGTAAACAGACAGATTAAATGTTTTCTCATAATTTCTTGAGACAAAATGTTGAATTAAAATTTATTTCTCCAAGATTTTTTAAAGTTTTTTGTCACTAACGGGGTTAACTGATTTATGCAGGACCAGATCCTTAGCTGGTGCAAATCAGGGTGACTTCACTAGCTTCCTGGGTTGAGAAATGTGTCCTATATGTTTGTGTAATTAAGAACTTACTCTCATCTTACAAGAGGCTGCCCCAGGAAAGGAAGATTTTACTTAAAGTGTCCATCTCTGTCTTAAAGCTGGCATTATAAGATTATTTTATTTGTTTCTCCAGTATATTGACCTACATCTCTGATATCCATCAAAACACGGGAGCCAAACTTGACACAACTTGATGTAACTGCAACTTTATGAGCCTCTTTCCATTTATTTCTATTTTGGGTCCTAAATGTTTTTATAATGGGGGTCTCACAAATGCTTACATTTTTGATATCTAAGACCCTAGACTGGGGACTGCCTGTGTCATAATGGTCATTGCATTCCCTTCCCTGCAGCTGTGCCCTACACAGACAGCATTATATTCTTACCTGCAATTTTTTGTATTTGTTTTCTTACCGCATTGTGTGAAGAAATACATTAGTACCTATTCACTCATATGCTTATCAAGGTGCATGTACTTTCTCAAGGTACAGATTTCAGTAGGGAAGCAGCTATATGCTAAGGACCAAACACACAATTACTTGATTCTAAATAGATTTTATTTTTCTTACCTGCTTCTCTGACTGATTGTCTTAATGTTTCACTTACAGGATGAACCAACTACTGGAATGGACCCTCAGTCCCGGCGTCTCCTGTGGGACTCTATTGTCAGTGTGCTCAGAGATGGGCGAGCTGTGGTTCTAACGTCACACAGGTAAAAAGAGTTAGAATTCAGAATCCCAGAGTAGCTGAAGTTCATCTGCTGGCTTTTATGTCAAATATCTGTTCTCTATTTTGGAAGTATGGAAGAATGTGAAGCCCTCTGTACTCGCTTAGCCATCATGGTAAAAGGTACCTTCAAATGCCTGGGCACAATTCAGCAGCTAAAATACAAGTAAGTAGTTAATGGTGTTCTTTTAATGGGAAAACTTAGTGTATGTGACATGTACTGTTCTTAACACAGCAGTCCAATCTTGAAGAGCTTTTGTTTAAACAGACCTATTTCTGGGTGCAACTCTGTGGTATCCTAGACAATTTTAGCTGACCTCATTTCAACTCTGTTACACTATACACCACTTCTGCAGGGCAAATACAGGGCTTCCTACAGAGCTAGATCTTATGCATTATCTTTCAGATAATGTTTTCATAGCTGCTAAAAATGAATTTTCTTCCTGAGTAATGAAACCATTTCTTCATCCCATTCCCAAACCCACATGTGCTTCCCAGGTTTGGAGATGGGTACATCGTCACTCTGAAAATCAAAGCTCCAAAGTCTGGGCTGCCTCCAGATCCTACTCCTGCTGAGCAATTCATACGTGTGAACTTCCCAGGGAGTTTACAGAGAGAGAAGCACTACAACATGCTGCAGTATCAGATTTGCTCCTCTTCTCTGGCTAAGATTTTTCGGTTAATACTCTCCAATAAGGAAAACTTGCATATTGAAGAATATTCTGTGTCTCAAACAACTTTAGATCAGGTGAGTAAAAAATAAAACATCCATGAGAAAGCCTGTCTGGCGAGAATTAGGCAACGCAATGGGGAGGTATCCAAGCAACTGAACAACCAAACTGTTCAGAGTAGGGAATTATCTTGCACCTCTTTCTCAGACACAATTCCCAGACCCATCATCAAGGAGGGTGTACCAGAGCTGAAATCTGTAACTGATTCCCTGTGTAAACAGGTGCCATTTGAAAGCTAGTAAGACAGTATTTCCCAGATGCCAGAATTCACACAACCCATTTCTTCAGGAGCACGAGCCTGAGCAAGGTCAGCTATTGAGAATAAGGCTTGCTGAGCTGGGAATAATGTTTTATTTTAAATAAGATATTTGGACTGTGTTATGTCAGAGATACTTTGATATCTAGTTAATGTTTGTATGTCTCTGTCATGCACTTTTATACAGGAACAATTAGACACACAAAACCTGGAAAGTCCACAGGGACTGCTGGCAGCACCCACTTGCTAAAGGGCATTAGCCCCATCTGCCTGCTTTCCTAAGTAGCAGAGGGTCAACATATGCAAAGCTGTCTTTGCTGGGAATGCTAGAGAAACATTCCTGGCTGCCTTACAGCTTCCTACTAAAATATTCTGTCTCCTCTTTCCCATCACAACCAAACCGGCTTACGCTGTGCAACTCATGCAAACTCTGCTGAAACCATTTCCTGCTTAAGAAAAAATAGGATTTTAGTTGCAAGTAAGTGCATCCAAAGGAAGGAAGTTGCAAGGAAGTTTATAAAAATAAAGAAGGAATTAATGATCGCTGCTGATAATGCAGTGTCTCACTTCAGGTCATGTCTATGGATTCCCTTCTGTCTCTTCCCTGCAGAGAGGCCAAGAGGATACAAATGTACAGAGACATTCCATTAACTCATCTCAGCTGATGAGATGGTGACGTTTTCTGCTTTCCTCACACAGGTTTTTGTGAACTTTGCTAAACAGCAGATGGAGGATGAGGAAATTCCTTTGCATCCCCGTGCAGCTGGAGCCAGCCGAGAAGCAAAGGTGTCCCCTGCTTTGCATCAGCAGGCAGCTGCATAGACTATTCTTACAGTCACTAGCGCTTAGAGTGTGCACAGTGCAAAGATGTGCCATACCAGAGCAGTACAAGGGTAAAACAAGGGTTCCCACATTCAGTCTTATACTGATTTTTTTGCACCTTTCTGAGCATTGTGCTCACAACAGCAAAAGCCCTAGCAACAGCCAACTTCTGCTCTAACAGGAACAATACATGCTCAAAGTGTCGAAGGAAAGGCAGGTCCTTGCTATAGAAAAAAATATTCCTCTAACATAAAGTTCATTATAAGATACAAGAAGAGAAGTCTAATTCCCCTTGTTGACATGTAAAGAGCATTAAAGACAGTTTATCTAGCTGGTCCTTTCAGGTAGGTTTTTCTTGTTTAACTCTTAAGTCAACTGCTACCAGTCATCAGACAGGTCCCAAGACAGAGAGCACTGCCCAGCTTAGAAGTGGATTCATGCCATCCTGAGTGCACATGACTACCAAGGTCAGAACATCAGCACTGGCTAATGGCGCTATACTGGGAGGCTGCTTCACTGTCTCACTAGGCTGCCAGTGAAAACAGATGGTTGTCCCAGCAAGAATGGGAAGAATTAATTAAGGTCTCGGATCCAGGCAAAAAAATTGCCTTAAAAAAAAAAAAACAAACCACAACTCAATGAAAATTATATCATATTCATGTTCAAGTTTCTCAAATAGAAGCAGAATCTCAAAATGGAGATTAAAAAGAGAGTATGTCCAAATCTGCCAAATGTTTTGTTTTCTCATGGAGGCCTGGAAAGATATCTTAGTTACTAAACAAGATAATTTTTTTCTTCTTTCCTGTAACTGGACCTTAAGTGGGTGTAAAGTGTGAACAGGGTATGTGCTTTCTCTGTGCTCAGAAGGAAAATTTCAACCTGCTTGTACTCCACACTGCACTCTGTGGGAAATCATTTGCCATTTAGCTCTTTTCTCTGGTTCAAAGTTGAACTAATGGAAAACAACAATACTGAAAACAAATTCATAATGATGTATTGCTTCAGTTATCTACCAGATCTAACCATTTCTAAGAAATCTTCTCTAAGAGATGTTACACAGAAATAAAATCTGGGTCATGTATTTTTGCTTTGTTAGGTTTTTTCTTCAATCGATGTAGATCTTTTTTTTTAATATAAGGACATTCTTGCTTTTTACTGTACAAAATATTACAAAACTTCAGCAACCAGCTGTAGTCTTCTTTTGCCGTTATATCAGCTGATTTCAAAATATAGCCTAGAATTTATTGCATATTTCACCCTTACAAATAGTTGCAAAAATCTTTCTAGACATCGATTATAGATAAATAAATTAATCATGAAACAAAACAGTATCTACGCATTCTCTTCATAGTCTAAAATAGCTTCTTTAAAATGTCATTCAAATAGATCGTAATAGTCTTTTTTTTGCACAAAACCCAACTAAGTGCCACTGAACATCTTGTGAAAAAGAAAACACAGGAAGTCCAAAATGTAGCTGATTTTTTTCCTCCCTGTCTCTGAACATAGGAAGGGAACTAGCACTCTGAGGACTAGCAGTCACTTCACGTATTTACAAAGTGTATTAAAAAATTTTCAGAGAATGCTGACATAAAATGCTATGTAAAAGGTCCTTTAGTATGATAAGGACTTGTCATACGAAAACAGGCCAAAGATCACAGATATAGCATAGATCAGATCTTCTGAGCCTTATTTACTGGTATGCAATTTACTAATGAAGAAGACTAAAAACAAACAAAAAACCCCCAACAATACAGGATGTTATATCCACAAATACTACAAATACTTCTTACTTCAGATTCTTTTGGCAAATTAGGGGTTAGACCCAAATCAGGTATTTGAGATATTGCCTATTTCTTTATTCCAGGAACCATTCATATTCTTTGGTAATGTTATTTGTTACAAAGCACCTGCCTCCAGGCAGCACACTGTCTTCTTCAAGTCAAAGAAGGCAGATCATGCAACTGTCTTCAGGCCAGCTGGCCGTGCTGGCTGAGCTAAGCTCTCTAGTAGTTAGCTGGTATGTCTTCATTCCAATGTACTTATGTCTTGCAGAATGCCACTGCTAAATTTGGAGCTGCTTTTCAGCACAGACTTCTCAGGATCTCTGATCCATCAATCCAAATAGACTAGTACAGGAAAATCTAAGTCAATCAGGTTACAGTGAAGTGTAGGGGCTTTTGATTACCAGCTGTGCTATGAAGCCTTATTTTTTGAAGGTGCTTCTGAGTTGAGAATTCTTGACTGTAAGGAAGTGTAGCTTTCAAGTGCATACAATTTCCCTCAGCAGTGGAGATTCAACATGCACAAAAATCCTTTTAATTAACTCACTTATTTAGCAAGAGGTTTATGAGCTTTTTCTTCTTAAAGTTCCGTGCAATATTGAAACTAAACCTTTTTTTCTTACAACAAAAATGGAATAATTGGCATTCGAAGACTTGGATAATCCTTAAATTCTCGTAGGTAGGTGCAGTGTTTATCCTTTGCCCAGATTGTCATCTGAATGAAGCAAAGCAAGGTGAATAGCCCCACTGGAAGGAAGGGAGAAAAAGATAAATGACATTATCAGATTAAAAACACACTCTCCTTGCTGACATCACTTCAGGGTGAAGTAGCAAAACATTACTCACCTGGAACACACTGAGTCATGACAGTGAAACTGATCCAAGTCCCCACCTGTTTTGGCCAAGGAAATTTTAAATATTTCTGGTGACAGCATTTGCATTTATGTCTCTATTGATCAAAAACAACCTTGTCCTAGTATAGGTAAATAAAAAAGCCAAGGTCAGCCAGATCAATTTCTAGTGTTAATAACCTTTAGCCAAAAAGGTGAACAGTGCCTTATTATGACAAACAAAACCTTTTTGTTTCTATAGCTATTATCGTGACAAAATTTTAAGCATTACAACATACTGTCCTTTCCATTTCTCTGCCTAATTTGTATTTGTCATACCTCCATCAGTGCTAGGACTGGTTAACTTTCTATAGTCTAAGGCCAAATACTGTTAACATCTGTTAATCTCCACTGCAGTTAAAACATGATGCTGTCCTTCTGTGCTAGAGTGAATTTTACACTGAGTTGCACTGGTTTTAGCTGCTTTTGAACTGAGTCAGGAGTTTGGCTCCTGATTAAGGAATATGAAGCAATAAACTGATTCAAGCTTCTAAAGCAGTCACCACCAACACAAGCGACTGTATAACTTAAGAAAATTAGGAAAAAGACCTTATTTTTTCTACCACAATATCTTCTAATTCATCTATTTCTCCATTTTCTCTGCCACAATATCTTCTATCTGTCTGCCCACTATCTTCCTGCATACGGTGATATTCCTGGGCTCTCTTACATTATAGATCCATCAGATACCCCCATCCCCTCATTGCAACACACATTCAGTAGCAATCTCCCTGCCCCTGTCTGCAAAATTTGGACTGCTTTAAAGTCTACCTGTCTTGACCAGCAGCCACACTGAAGCACAGGCCCAGGGTCCAGGCTCTCTGTTTAAGGTTAGCTCTGTAAGTACTGCCTCAAGAGAGGAGAGGAAGAACAGACCAGTTCCTCTCTGCAAGCTGATTTCATGGGGTTTAGGGGAGGAGGGGAAATGGTGTTGAGCTGAACTGTGTCAGAGGTTTCTTCTATGTTTAACATCCAAAAGAAATGAAAATATATTCAGCAGAACTAAAATCTGAACATCTTGTTTGAAAATACATACCTCATATGTATAGTTAGGGCAAGATACAAAGAAAAACAGCCATGTGAAAGGATTCTTTGTTGGATATGGGATCTTACGGGTTTTGGATCCTATAGATTAGAAAACAAATCACAAAATATTCACATTCCTAAATATATTGTTTCCTATAAAAACAACCCAACTCTGCCTACTCCTGTGTTTCATCACTGTCAGACAAGCAGGATGTGGGAAAACAGGATGTCCTCCGGACCCACAAGAAGGAATAGGATAACTGTGAGGAAACATTCTGGGCATTAGAAAGTCGTCTACTTATGCCTTTGATCAGTCACTCCTGTAAGAAGAGGTACCTCAAGTTTTAGATTTAGAAGTTAAAATTTTTCTCAGATTGTCACAGAAGGGGATTTTAGCAGTCATAGGTGATAGCTGTAAGGTGTTTGGCTCATGCCCAAGGAACTCTGGCCTGCACAGCGATCTTGTGCCCCCTGGAGAAGCCAGTGAAATTACTTTCCCTTGCTCACCAAAGCGTAGCTTATATTAGCACTGCTTCCTTTTGCACTGCCAGTGTAACTAACATAACTGCTGCCCCCAACACAACCTGGCCCTAACCAATAAAAATCACAGACTGGTGTTGGATTCCTTGCACTGTCTGACCTCTCCTGGAATCCAATCTTTACAGTGCTGAGCAACCTGGGTTCCCACAGCAGCCAGCTGGTGAGTATCCACCCTCCAGGATCAGGACTTTCATGAGGTAGAGTAACTGTAGAAGTTCTGAACGGCTGTGCAAAATGAAAATTATAATGCAATTTTTACCATTTCTTCGGAGGTTACTGAGCGCAACATGAATGGAAAAATTTCCAGCTTCACACAGCTGCAAGAAAAAGCATGACAGTTAAAAATGTGCTTCCCTTCTATTTACTCTTCTTCCTTTTATTATTTCCTGGGATACTTAAAAAAAAAAAAAAAAGGGAACAGAATCTATTATAAAAATAATAAATATCCTTAAATAAATATCGTTAACCAAGGCTGCAGTCTGACTAGAGGATGGAATGTCTTTGTTCCAACATGAGTCCATGTTATACTCTATTACATATTAATGATATTTGCCAGCAAATGTGGACTTGGTGTCCAAAAGATCAAATTTACTACTTATATAATTCCCATGAGATCTAAAGGCAATAAACCAAAGGGGACAAAAGTAAACCCAGGAGGTGCTTTATCTTTTGGTTATTCTTGTGTCTTTAAAAACACCCAAAAAATTTATTTGGATCATTTTGGTTTCTCAACAGTTATTAAAATCCCAAGGAAGACCAGGGTTGGACTCTTAAGTAAGTATTCGTCTCTAATTTATAGGAATCATGAAATATAATTGACCCAGCTTCCTCCACTGGTTTTAAATAATGGTTCCCCAATCAATTATGCAGAAAGTGTATTGAAATGACCCATTTATGTGATTATGGACAGTCTCCAGTGTCTGCAAAGCATAGCTATTAAAGCAAATGACTGGTGGTCAGAGCTCCTGAATTTTATGCCCAGCTCTGTGCTTTCAGTTATGTAGTCTCTTTATGAAATGGGAATAGATTATGAACTCACAGTATTTTCATACTAGGAAGCTGCTTTGAGATTCTGCAGTCACTGTGAATTAGTGTCTCAAAGCAAGTGAACAGCTGATGTTCTAAACAAGTTTGGCATGCATAGGAAAAATGGGTAAATCTTTGCTGGCTACACTAATGTTGCTTCTGCATGTATGAAATGTTCCTAGGAACTGTGAAAATGAACAGACAGTGACTTAAGAATTTTGCTTCATATGGAAAGTTGTAAAAAAATTTGTGCAGCCCATCAAAATGAACCTCTGTCCCTGGAAATTATCAGCAACATGCTTTCTTAGTTGGTTAGTTCTCTGAGTTTTATGATCTGTTGTGATTCTTAACACTCAATAAACAGTTCCCAAAACAAACTCACTGGCATTTAAACACAGTGTCACAAACTGGTAGTTCCAGGATTCTTTTCAAGATCACGAGAGATCATCCCAGCAGATAAATAGCCCAGTCTTGGAATGAATACTGAATCAAAATCTTCCCTTGTGTACAAAATCACATTAAAAACTGACAGATTTATCTGTTCTGCATATCCAAGTGGTCAGCTTTAGTAGTATGTCCCAGGTCTTCAAGGCCTAAGTATCTGCTTATCCTACTCATTCTTGCACTTACACAACATAAGAAATAAAAGCAACATGTTTCAGCATTTTCTAAAAAGAGAACAAACTTACCAGAAACATGATCACAGCAAAATTTATCTGTTTTTTCCCATAAGCTATTAAACAAAAAAGTTAACATGTGATTAGTACTAATATACAAACGCATAAGTACTTAAATCACATTGAGGGTTGTTTTGCTACTTACAAGGAGGAGTGTAAAGAGGATGATTGATGTAATAAGCAAGCCAAGCTGCAAATCCCCAGTAATACAAGCAGTTCTGAAAAACAGGGAATTTTTCTTTGTTTCAGTACAATCCTCTAGGCCAGTATTCACTGCAAGGACCGCTGATAACAATGAATTGGGCTGATCCTTCAAGTTGCTGATAATACAACAAAAAATTACCATACTAAGTGTGCTAAGGTGAGAGCAGACAACAGGAAATAACAGGAAGGAAGTAGTGCTCGTACAGTAAGATTTCCTCTCAAATATCTTGTATCTGTTAAGTTTATAAACACTTTTAGAAAGTATGATCATACTATTGAAAACAAATTTATCTTGTCACGCAAGCCATTTGGCCAAAAATGAAATGCCATACAGACTGTAGGTTAAAGAGAGACTTGTTTTGCTAACCTCTGAGACTTTGTAAAACCAGATTTAGGCACTCTGCTCTCTTCCCTGCTTATTACTTTGTACTGCCCAATCTCTTACCTTTCTTCTCCTTCATCCCATCAGTCTTCTTTCTTTGCCATGCTTTAAGTTTTCCTACCTGAAGTCCTCATGCCTGGTGCTTTCCTTTGCCCGTTCACTGTGATACCCTTAGTCTGTCCCTTTTGCTGTTTTCCTTGTCTTTCTGTGATCCAGCTTCCATCCTCTAAACTCTGATAACATAGCTGTCACTAACAGCTCTACTAACTCATTCCTGACCAGTCTCAGAGCTTGTTCACAGGCTTCCTCCATGAAAAAAAATTACTTACAGTGACAATCTCTACCTCTTGTTTGGTTTTGCTGGCCCTGCCTCTTGGGGTTTTTCTTCTGACACTCATTGCTGGTTCAGTATCTTGGTGACAGAGTGTCTTTCCCTTCTTATATATCTGGAGGTAGGAGGGAGGCCCTTTCTTGGCCCATTCCTCTTCTTCCTCTGTGTTCTCACCTCTAGGTGCCATTCTCTTGCAGACAGACTTTAACTCTTGTCGACAACTCATACATTTGCCTCTCATTAGTTGAGATTTCTTTGTTTATCAAATCTAGTGCCTCAGTTTTTAATGTTTTTGGGCATGTTTGGTTATCATCTGGACTTCAGCAAGAACAAAACTGAGCTCTTTATCTTTGTTTCACCTCTTCTTCTGTTCTTTTCCTTCCACTTATCTATCCGTCCCTCCTGTTTGCACTCTTGACTAAAACACTCATCCTTTTTCTCGTGGTGCTTTTTTCTTCACCTTCCAATAGCTTCATGTAGCTTAGACATTTTTACATCTTTCTGCTTTCCCCTTCACAGCTTTCCTTTCCTGCTCACTCAGACAAAATTCTTATCCAAGGCTGCATTCTTTCCTGTCCTGACTGGTTTAACTTTTTTTTTTTTTTTTTTTTTTGGCTTTGAATTTTGCAGCCTTTTTCCCCTGTACATACCAGAACTGCATTTCTAGCAATAATACCTTGAAAAGTTATTACCTCAGCATCTCCAACCCACACTAGCTGACTGCAGTGTCCAATGGTGCACTTTTCTGAAAATGCTGGTGAGGGATAAGCCTTCCCATCTGCTGCAAACAGTTGTATTAAACATTCTGTTGCATTTCTACTTTCTTTTGAGAGTTAATTAAACCACTGAAATACCCAGAGACCTCAGACAAAATGAACACCCTTTTGGCTATGACTATGACAAGCACATAGTATGTCCTTGCTCTGAAATTAATATATTAATAGATAACTGATGAGAATGAGCAAATTATGAACCAATAATTACATATCAGGTGAGACAAAAAAGCAGAGAGATAAGTAACTTCCCTGTGACAGCTTCCCTCTTCCTCAGGAAAAGCAGCAGAGCCAGAAGAATGACTCCAGTGAGAGACAATCTAATGTCTTATCCATAAACTACTGCTTCCTCCCTAACACTAGCTTCTTCTGTCATCATCTACAATTTACTAACTGCTGTACAAACTTAGGTGAAACAGTTTCTTGTAATCTTGGAATGGCATCTCATGAAAAACCTTTCCCTAACTTTGGGGCTTGGCACAGGATGGATCATATGACAATGGATTTCAGTAAAGTAAAATTAAATTAAAAAATTATCATGGTTCAGCTCCCAACAATACATGCTGTAGTTAGACTGAATAAGTACTATTCATCCAAAGAACATGATTTACTGCAAGAGTACTACTCAGTTATAAGAAAAGGAGCTTTAAGATGAATGGAGTCCGCCACTGCTGAGGGCCTTAGCAGTAACACTACAAATGTCCAGCTGCCAGTAGAAGCCTTATGGCTCATACAAAATACAGTGAGATTCAGATCGGAACAGCAGAGTACATACAGACTTCATAAACTCACTTGAAAGAAAGAAATTGTTTCTGTGAATCTTTCATATTCCAGGTCAATAATAAAGCTTTACAACAATCTCTTATAAAAAGATTTTGTGGATCAAGTTTAGATATTGCAGGGATCCCATAAATATATTATTCTTAAGTTTACAAAGTTATGCTTAGGATTTTTGTCTTCTCTACTCCAATTGATGATCCCTATGATGATCAAAACTATTTCTGAATGCCCTGCCTATGTTTACTATGTTTATTCATGACCAGCATGTACCCTTCTGTGTGTCTCATTATATTGTCTTGTGGTTTAAATGGTATCTCTTTAGGTCTAGTGTTTTCGTTCCTCCAGATGTTTTTATAGAAAGTGACAATATTCCTTCTTTTTTACCCATGACAATGTTCAGTAAGACCAGTCATAAGACTAATCTTTGAGGAATTCCACCCTAGACACCTCCCTATTATTAAAGGTCTGACAGATCCTTTTCTGGCACAACCACGATCACCTTTCCTTTAGTTAGTTCCTTTATCACCACACAATTTTTGTATTAATCCCTATCTTATTCGCCCTGAACCAGTTGTTTACTAAGTCTAGATAAATCAGATATTCTACCTTTCCATTGATAGAAAAATCATGTATCTTAGAAAGGATTATACTATGTTAGTATATAGCATGAACTGCTGTTGGTGAACCCCTGCTGCATTTTACAGCATCATTTATTCCTATTTCCATTTGGTAAACAAAGGAAAATAACAAATCTCATCAATTCCTGTCTCAGATCTCTGCTTGTTAAGACTGAAGTGTCTCTTGTTAAAGGTGGCTTTCCACTGCGCTTAGGTATATCTGCTACTTACCAAACACTTAAAGTAAGAAGCTTTGTTTACCATTTGTATGCGAAAGAAAAAAGGTAAGAGGATGTGATTTTTTTCTCACTGGCACAATTTTGGAGTACCACCAAGGTCAATGAAATTATGAAAGCAAATCAAACCCAAGCACTCCTAAGCAGGTAGAAAAACTGTGAGCAACTTTACAGATGAAAGCAAGTATCACCAACATGAGAAGGTGGAAAAGCAGAAGTGATCAGAATGACTGGTGTGGATTTTAGCAACAACAGTTTGTCTGGTCCGAAAGGAACAAGTAGTTGTCAGAGATGGCAGTGAGAAAATGAAGATTTATCACACTGTACTGATTCTTTTTCAAGGTAAAGTTGCTCACTTACCTGCTGTATAGCATGCATTAGCTACTATGGTGTCAAGAACAAGTCTCTAAGAGATCTGCTAGCCTTTAACATCCCTTGCACTCTTCCACTGCAGAAAACACAATAAATTGCTAGGGAGGATTCTTTGACGGCCACTGCTCAACTACAGGCCCTCCTTCCATTTCGAAAGCATGAAGCTATTGCCCAGAACTACCACAGCCGCTGCACAGCTGTAAGGAGTGAGCCACAAGGTAGAGCTCCAGCTGCTGGGAGTCACTGCCATAATGCAAATTCCAAGGGACTGTCTAGATACCATATATCTATATAACTGTTAAATACCCAAATGCTGATACTATACTATATGCTTTCCAATTGTAGATCATAATCTCCTGTCTTCCTGAGGATCAAGCTTATTTTTGAATACCAGTGTGTACCCTGTTGCAAACGTTTGTAAAATAACTACAGCCCATGCATAACCATGCAGCTCACTGCGCTACTTCACAAGTATCTAGGAAACAGGGGGTCTGCATCCCAACAGCTGCCCTGTGCCACAGCAGCACTGGTAACACTAGGGAGTGCTCCTGCGGGAGAAGAAAATGCAGAACCACCAAGCTGCTTTATGCTAGATCAAAGGTAAATTAACAGTTGCTGAACAGCAAAGAGAGTGTCAGGGGCAAAGAAAATGCAAAATGACTGTTACAAAAAGTAGATTTTCTTTTTTTTTAAAAGCAACCCTCCCAACTTTGTGCCTGCCTGTGCTACCTTAAAAGTTAACCTTGTTACTAAACGCTTCGCACTCAAGGAGCTAGGTAAGTGAAAAGGAAGGGTATGCTGAAGGCTTAAAATTTTGAAAGAGCAATGAGACTATTATAACATGAATAACAGTATGGCAACATGTGGGTTATACAACAGCAACATTAAGAAATCTTTTGAAAGAACTAGAGCTTTGTGGGTGAGATTTGCTGTGTATTATTACTACAAAAGCCGCACCAAAAAAGCTGTGCTGCGGAGGCAGAGCATAGGTTGGCTAGGTTGGATTTGTAAGGGGGGCTAGGAATAGATTCTGACACAATTTACCTTCACAATATTCCTCAGTGGCATAGTCCCATGGGAGAACCGATGAACAAATACTGTTTCAATCAACCTTTTGATGTAGTGGAAAGAATGGCAGATACATGCCAAGCTAGAAACAGCAAGACAAAAGCATTTAAGAGTGCTTAAAAAAACAAGTGTGGCAAGACATTTGGAATAAGACTACAATGCTAACAAGAAATACTGCTCAAGCCTGCAAACTGACTTACTTAACTACTGGATGCGGGCTTGATGTAAACCTCTCATCCAGTCCATAGACAAAAGGCATGCGGAAATAAAACAGAAAATAGATGAACAATGGACCTGTATATTCTATCAAAAATACCTGCAAAAAGAGAGAAAATAATTAGACACCTGAATTAGATGATGGTTTTGCTTTGGTTTCTTTGTGGTAACTAATGCAGTGGGATAAACACCTCCACTGACCCAGGATGGCATTTAGAGAAGCAGGGAGTGAACAGCAAGCTTGGGCTTGGGCTATGAAATGGGCAGACATGCACGTGAATGTTTTGCAATGCATTTGCCTCAGTTGCATACAAACAGCCATTGCCAGTGCAGCTGACACAGTATGGGTATGAAAAGAAAATAATGGCAGCCCAGAGATCACGGTAAATATGCATGCATGTTACATTTACGCAGCTTTCACCCTCCTCTTGCCCTCAAAAACTGTTGCTTTATTTGGTGCTAAAAAGAAATTTGGTGAAGAATTTATCTTGAAAAAGAGGAGCTTTGTTTCTAATTAATTAATTTTGTTTAAACTGGAGACATAGCTTTTAAGTGTTCACAGGTAACCCCATCTGTATGAATAGTTAGCACAGCAGATGTCCCGGGAAACAATCAATTCATTCTATATTCAACAATCTTTAATTTGGACACAAAGAAAAAAAAAAAAAGGAGAAAAACCAAATAAACCATTATCTAACTTGATTTCATTTCAAATAGGTGTGCATTTCCTAGGAACATCACTTTAAATTTAAGTTAACTTTGAACTAAATATTAACAGTTGTATTTTCCACACTTCTATAAGTGAGGAAGGCAGGCTTATGCCTCATTTCTGGAGAAAGAAGGGAAAATGATTGCATTTCCTGACATCAACTACTGTTTTCTAATATGTTTAGAGTTATTTTGATACTCAGAAAAGTTGTGTTATCAACTTCTGTAACAATCAGCATTTGCTCTGGCAAAGATCAGGTTTGATTGTAGATGAGAAGCTTCTCTTTCTTATTTGATAAAACTGAAGTATTTCTTGGCTTACTTTTGAATGAAGTCACTTGAAAAGCACAGAGAGCAGAATGTAAAGTAAAGATTATGGAATGGCAGAAGTCTGGTGTTACTCTGCACTGTGATATTTTGTTATGTATTAATGCGTGTGTCTTGGAGCCTACATTGCCTTTAGGAGCTTTTGCCTGTCTTACTGTTTTTTGGACTGTATAATAGCTCCCTGATTTATCAGCGTTGCATCCAAAATAATGATGCAAAAATTCAGTCTTGCAGAACATTTGAATTTTTTTTATTTTACCTCTTATGGGTGTTGTCTTTGCTATTTGCCATTAGCACAAGATTTTATTAATGTTTTTAAGCTAAGAAATTATAAATATGCCTTTAAATTACAGGGTACTTCTCCCTTTGTGCTGTGCTGTTTCATTAGAACTAGTGTAATATGTGCATCATGGACCTTTTGAAGAACTGGAAGGGTCATTGGTCACCTCACTGCATAAACAGCAGTGCTGTGTTGCCAGCCAAATGAGTTGTGACAGAATTTGCATTTGAGCTAAGACAGTAAATATACAAGGTCTTTGTGGATGGCCACTAATACTGCAGAAATTACCAACTGTCATTAGCCTGCCGCTAGCATCCTGGGACACAGCCACGTGCAGACAGCTAGCTGATCTTACTGTTGTGCATTTT